AGAGTGCTGTGGCATCACAGCTCACAGCAATCTCCAACTCCTGGGCTCAAGCGAGTCTCCTGCCTCCACCTCCCAAGTAGCTGGGACCACAGGCACCCGCCACCACGCCCTGCTATTTTTTTTGGTTGCAGCCATCATTGTTGTTTGGCAGGTCCGGACTGGGGATTCGAACCTGCCACCTTAGGTGTATGTGGCTGGCACCTTAGCCACTTGAGCCATAGGCGCTGAGCCCACAAAATCTTATTGTATAATTTCCTTTTATATGAAATGATTAGGTTTGATGAGAGTATTTCAAAATGTATGTGAAAACACCCCATTGTACCCCATGATTGCATTAATGTGCACAGCTATGATTTAATAAAAAATTAAAAAAAAAAAGAAATGATTAGAACAGGCAAATTCACAGAGACATAAAGTGACATAAATCTATAGTGATATCAATCTATAGAGACAAATAGTCTTTGCCAAGGCGAGGTGTGTGGGGTGGGGTGCAGGAATGGTGAGTGACTGCTAGTGGTTACTTTGTGGAGTAACAAAAATTTCCCAACTTAGATTGGGATAGTGACATCAATCTATAGAGACAAATAGTCTTTGCCGAGGCGAGGTGTGTGGGGTGCAGGAATGGTAAGTGACTGCTAGTGGTTACTTTGTGGGGTAACAAAAATTTCCCGACTTAGATTGGGATAAAGTTGTAGAACTCTATGAAACTTATTAAAAACCATTTACCTATATTCTTAAAATTAGCCAATGCTATCTCATTAAAGTTACATCTCAATAATAACATCTTTTAAAAATACAGGTTGAATATATACTATAATTAAAACTAAGGCACATAAATACATGAAAAACAGACTAGAAATAAATACAGCCAAAGCCTAACAGTGATTTGGTTCAGAAAGTGAATTTATGGGTGAAAATTTTTGCCTTCTTTCATTGTCCAAAATGTTAGTCATGTGGTTCAATTTCTTTCATTATTAAGAAAAAGCGGGTATAATTAACAAATAGAAGAATCTTTCTCCACAGTTCCATCTCCCCTGTAATCTTCTTTGGTTTGACCTTGTGGAGTCAAGAGTCAGAAATGCACCCTCCAGTGGCTATTACAGAGCCATCTGGCCATTTCAGGCCATTTGATACAAATCTATGAATGAAAAAGAAACTACAGTAATGGGTTTCACACCCCCTGAAATTACACACATTAAAAATTCTGGCATATTGAAAATAAATGTGTTCTCGTTTTTAGGAAGTGATCGAGGCGATTGCAGAATGTGCATTTAAGACTTCACCCTTCCCGATTCTCCTTTCATTTGAGAACCATGTGGACTCGTGAGTATTCAACACGTCGCCAAGGCATCTTTTTCCCAAAGAAAGAATTATCTAATCGTTGTCTATCAGATTTAAGATTATATGGTATTATTAATGGTGTTCTTCAATCGTGTCGTATATTAAGTGACGTGTTTTCATTCGTATTTGATAAAGCTCACTCATTTAAATCTCATAAATATTAAAATAACCCACTGGACTTGTGTGGAATCTATTTTCCTGCCATAGGATGGCTTTTAAATTAAGGACTCTTCTGTCTATGACTCAGTAGAACACATTTGCTTCCACGGGACATGTCTTTATTACAGATTTGGGATGCATTAGGCTGCTTTTATAAACCTCCTTCATTAGCTCTTTCTATTTCACGCTATTTTACAATCAGTTTTGCTCCCTCAAAATTGCCAGTTCCCTTCTGTTCCTCGTGGCTGGTGGAGGCGGAGCTGTAAATTCTATTCTGCCATTTGGCCCCTGCGCAAAAGTCAGTCCAAGAAAAGCTCCATCTTTCCCCTTCCCATGGGCCGCCCCCATTTGTCAATATCTTTAAACATTTTCCTACCTCACCATAGCCTGCATTTACTGCTGAGCTACATAAGGAAAAGGTAATTTTGACGTAACTATTTTCTATTCATTTTATCACGAATTACCAAAGAGAACATATTTAAATCTAATGCATGTTATATTAATGTATCATAGAGTTATTCTCTTTAAAGAGCTTCAGAATGAAAAATCCTTTTCTGTATTAAATCAAAGTTCATGGACCTAACAGTCTGGTCCGTGGAATTAACAATGTCTGAAGAATACACAGTGGTGTCCACAGTTCCTCAAAAGACCAGTGTGAAGCCCTCTCTTTCATCTCAAGAACCTAAGCCAGATTTCTCAACTAGAAGCCAGAAAGCAGCCCCCTGTCCTAATTGGGCTCTTTTTACCCTTTTTCCTATTAAGAGTCTTTCCCAGGTCACTGATCTTCTTTGCCCAACTAATTTGCAACACATGCTTCGATTCGCTAATTCTTAAAGAATTTATTAAATCTTAAAGAAGCAGTACAGTCGTGATCAAATTTCAGCTTCAACAATTTCTAAGTCGTTAACTGTGATCTTGTATTAATATACACATGGAGAGCTTATTTCAAAGTAATCAATTTTATAATTATCTGTCTTTCTAGTTTGCCCTCAGGAAACCCATATGACATTTTTCTGGCTTTTGGTTCTGTTGCATTATGAAACTGTCATCCCGTGAATGATGTAATCATTTGGCATACCATTTCCCCAACACTCCTGAGGGTCAAATGAAGGAAAAGGAATTCAATCGGCCCCAGGGCTCTTTCTGCTCTTACTAAAAGGGGTGTCTCTTCAGGGGCTTTTTTTTTTTTTTTTTTTTTTTGCAGTTTCTGGCCGGGGCTGGGTTTGAACCAGCCACCTCCAGCATATGGGGCCAGCGCCCTACTCCTTTGAGCCTCAGGTGCCATCAGAAAGGGTTATTTCCTTTTTGGAAGAAAAGGCACCTAGTTTACTTACTTTCTTAAAGAAATGTTTCTATTTAAATTAAACAAAATGAAAGGTTATGATTTTATTTTGGATTGTTACACCTGCCCTATTGAACTCTCCCTTGAGGTTAGTCAGAGAGGTAGCAGCAATCACCACCATCACAAATATATTTTGTGTCAAGTAAATTTCCAGATATTTCACATGCCTCAGCGCATGTAAGCCTATGCGCTTCTAAGTGTAAATATTAAATATTATCCCTATTTAATAGATAATGAAACTGAATACCAAAGAGGATAACTTGCCATGTTCCATGTACATGACATGTACATGTACATGACAGGGATGGATTTGAACCCTGCTCTCCTGACTTAAGAACTCGCACTTTTAACCAACACCATCCCCTACATCTAACCAGAAGCATCAGGAGCCTTCCTTCAGGACAACCAAAGCATCTGCAAAGCCGTGGCCTGCAAATGTTCACATTTATGTGGCTTGTAGCCTTCAACCAAAATATGATTTTTTTCTTTGCAGTTTTCTACACCAATAATACAGAGACTCCAAAACTGGGCATGAAAACTAATTCCTTCCATGCACACAAAAGCAAAGAAGCTAGTGAGTGCCATAATACTGCAGTTTCTGGCTTAAAAATGACATAGTTAGCTATTAAAAGTTCATTAATAATTCATATGTGACAAAAGAAAACAGGAAAACAGCCTTCCGAAGGCGCCATGGTTGTGTCCTCACCACCGAGATAAGGTCATGGTGGTGAAATGTCAGGAGCCTGAATTCTGTCGTAGAGGAAGCGTGAGGAGGTGGTTGCTTCCTGCTTCCCTGTCCTTCACCTCCAGATATCAGAATTGCTGAGCCAGGATCACTTCCTGGGAGGCTACCACACACACCCAGGGAAAACTGATCAACTTTCCCTTTGCTGGGCAAACCCTATGCTTGATTTGTGGGCCCCGTTGCCTGGTTTCTGGGCAAACCCTATGCTTGATATGTGGGCCCCGTTGCCTGGTTTCTGAACCCATACAGTCGAAAACTCCTTCTCATTAAGCTTAGTTGCCCCCCCCCCCAGAATTTTTCCCAAGACAGTGACTCAGAAACACATCACCAGAATACCTGAAACCCGTCTCAGGTGAACCATTTTATTGTCCTGGGCATTGTGTGTACAAAACGTCAGATTCTGAACTCTGGTCCCAGCTAATTTGAGCTGTTTATCCACAAGAAACTCACACTAGATAAAAGAGAGAAAACCATTGGATTTTCTGGTTTTCTCTCCTGATATTTGAAACCGCCTATCCTAAACAAGAGGAACCTGCCACTCCTGATTTCTGCTTGTCCACTTGCTACATTGGATTCCCACAGACTGCTTTGAAAAATGCAGATTCCTGAGCTGCACCCCCACCTCTGAAATAGAAGTTCTAGAAGACTTGAAAATTCTTTTTTTAAAAAGCCCTAGTTGACACTAATGTTCCACTTAACTTGTGAACTGGCATTTTCAAAAAAAGAATTCTGTACTAAATTCAAGTGAAGTGACCTCTAGCCGTGTTTGGCCACAGACAACTGTGAGATTGTGGACAAGGTTTCTAATTTCTGTGGGTTGTAGATTCCTTCTCTGTAGGGAAGGAGGTCGGTTTTGTTCAACCTGGAGGATTTACCCTGGGAAATGGGACAAGTGTCTTGGGCAGAAAGCTGACCACTTTGCCAGATGCCTACACTTCCGGAGTAGTGCCCATTTTCAGAAATGTCTGCTATGGCCTGATGCTCAAAATGCATTTGTGAATTTTGTCCTCTCACTTCATCTCCATGGTAGCTGGTATTGATGCTCTAAACACTTTAGGAATTTTTTTTTTTCTGGTGCTAATTGTAATGTTAATGCCTTTTATTTCTGAAGTTCTGACCTGCAGTTAAAGTCACTTTGTTTTCCTCTGATTTTTTTCTATTCAATTTGCTCTCTACTCTGATTTAATTCCCTGTTAGGTGGGCATTGTGTATTTACTGAGAACATGAATAGCTTAATTATGTAAACAGTTCATTTTACCTTTTTTTTGGACACCTACCTCCTGTTCTTTCCATCTCAGCTGGTTTTGAGGCAGGTCTTTAAAAGTCCAAGTTAGAAAAAATAATAAATAATTTAAAAAATAAGAATAAAAGTCCAAATTAGACGTAGAATCTTCCTCTTCAAAGTGTGATCCTCAGATCAAAAGCACTTGTATCGCAGGAGAGCTTGTGAGAGAAGCAGCGGAGTCTGGGGCTCCACCCTGGAATAGGTGTGAGAATCTCCATTGTTTGTTTTTAATTTCAGATTAATATAAGGGAACCTATGATTAGGTTATGTTGTTTACCTCCATTTTTATAATACCCCCAGGAGACTGATTTGAATAATGGAGCTGAGCTCTAAGCACTGTGGTTCATTGACCACTGGCATCAGAATTACCTGTAGCCTTGTTTAGAATCTATGTTTCTGGGCTTTAATTCTCATTCCACGAATCAAGGGACTGGGGATTTGGCCCTGTCACTTGCAGCCTTAACAGCTCAGGTGACACTTTCTTGTAATTGAGTGAAAATCATGGCTCCAGCAAAATCCTCAGGGTCTGACTTGGGAACCAGTTGGGAGAGGAATCTGCTACAGATATGTGGAAAATCTTCCCACTGGTCAGAACGTGTTTCCCTGGAAAATCCTGAAAGCGGGAGATTAGGGTAAATCTCTTCCCCTTTCAGCCCAGGTCTCTAATCAAAAAGAATTTGGGGCTTCCAAGTTCCAACACTGAAGAGAAACTACTTCATCACGGAAGTCATTACTTCAGCACCTGCTGACTCATTTTCATGTAGCCCAGAAGTTTGTAAAGGTGAACACACATCAGCATCGTCAGAAGGTGTCCTGGACTCCACTGCTCCAGATCCTCTGATGCGGAATCTGCATTTCCAGTAAAGTGCAAGTGCTGTTGATGCTGCTGGGCCAGGGACCACGCTCAAAGTAGTAAAGCTCTGATATTTAACAGAGTCATTCTATGAGAGCACAATGGAGGGTTTGAACAGTTTCTTGAGTATGACCTGGAACAGGGAGACCCAGCACAAATGGACTTGTTCTCAGCTACAGCCAGAGAACAGGTTGACTTGGGTGAGCCCCCCCACCTGGATTTGGAGATGCCAGGGGTGCCAGTTCTCTTCCTACTCCCAAAAGTCTCATCAACACAGTCTAAAGGATTACTGCCAGTGCTTTTCAGGGTCCATCCTCTAATGAGCAGTTGTTCCATTCTCCCCAATACCGTGGAGGAAGGTTGCAGTCTATTCTCATGGCTAGATAAGCAGTGTAGTCAAGTCTCATACAGGCCAAGAAAGGCAAGGTGAGAGGTGTGAGGGAGCTAGGGAGGCTTTGCCAGGCTTTGAATCTTGCCTTTCCTCTCCTTCCAGTTCCAAGAAAGCAATGACCTTACAGGTTCATATTTGTACCCCCAAGAACTCACTTGACCTCCCCCCCCAAGTGCATACTTTATTTTTTTTTCAAAAGGAAAGGATATAAAGCATGTTTTTACCTATGAACCACCACAATATATTTTGAACTTGCAATACTCCCAGTCCCAGGAAAAAAATCAGTCCATGATCCAGGCTTAATATTCATGGAAGAGAGAATGAAAATAAGCCACGTTTTTTAATGGATTTGAATTATTATGAAGAAGGCTTTTCATCCCTGTTACTTCTTAGCTCAGTCCCAGTTCTGCTACAATGTATTATTCCTGCAGCACATAAAGAGAACTGTTGGAAATCAAGTTCGACAGCCTGTAGATCAAACTCAGAGTCCATAAAACCCAGTGGAACTGGATATCTTTATAATGATATTTAACATTGCACAAAATGAGAACGAAAAGACAAAGTATTGCTTTCTAAAAGGTCAAGGAACACAGAAGCATTGAAAGAATATGGATATTCCTCTGTATGAACTGTGTTTACAAGTTCCTGGGCACACCACTTGTCTAGTCAAGCTGGCGGCACCGCCGTGTAACAACAGAATCATCTTACATTTGCCCTGCGCTTTTAACGTCTCAGAGACGTTTGCATCCATTATTTCATTTCATCTTCTCAGCATCCTCTGTCCCTTTCCAAGAATAGTTATTACCCTCCTCATTTTGTGATCCAGAGTGGTTCAGAGCCTGGAGCTCAGCTCAGCAAACCCTGCCACCCCAGGCCTTTCCTAACAGACCAGCTTGCTGCTGACAACACGCGCAGGCTGAACCCTCCTCTGCTTCCCTGTTAGCTACATATGAGTTACACACACCTTTCCCCAAGGTGCCTGCCACTGTCCTCTTTCCTCCACGCTGTCTTCCTGTCTTTTCTACATTTTGAGATTCATTCTCTCTCTCTCTCTCTCTCTCTCTCTCTCCCCCCATCCCCCTCTGCAGATGTGTCTCTCCGTTTCTTCCTCCTTCCCTCCCTCTCCGTCCTCCCCCTCTCCGTCCTCCTCCCTCTCTGTCCTCCCCCTGTCCGTCCTGTCCTCCTCCCTGTCTGTCCTCCTCCCTGTCTGTCCTCCTCCCTCTCCATCCTCCTCCCTCCTCGTCCTCCCCCCTCTCCGTCTCCCCCCTCTCCGTCCTCCTCCCTCTCCATCCTCCTCCCTCCTCGTCC